CCTTCTTGTTAGCAGTTGAACAAGACCACTAAAGCTAGCCACTAATATAATCGATGAGCTGCATTTGAAGATTCTATAAACCAACCCATCTAACTTAACATGACAATAATTTGAAGTTTTGAGCTTCCGTAAGGAGCTTCCCCCAAGAAAAGGGAAAGGATAATCTCATCATCATTCAGTAGACATACAAATGTGGAGGAAGGTAAGTCTGCCTCTTCACATGGAGGGGAGTGGGCCTATTATTTATTCACTATTAGCCTTTCTCTTTGCCACTACCCCTAACTTCTGGTCGTTCCATTTTCTCAGGGTTATTTACAAATCGGATACGTGGGGCATAAGACCAAGCACATCACACATTTTACTGTGCGATCTAAGCTTTTTTTCATACCAAGGCCAGAGAAGGAAAGAGAATTTCTCAAATGGGAAGAGTCAACCGGCATCCTGCAAATCTAAGCCCTAAAGGTTCGAAAGCCAGACCATAATATCGAGCTAGCAGCTTAAGAAGCAAAGATTTAGACAGTGGTATAGGTGGTGAAAGTGACAACAGATGCTGCAGCCGCTTCAGAACGCACTGATGCTAAATGACGGACAGAGCTTCTCCGCTACGGCATAGGAGAAGAGGCCTACGCACGTTGAAGTCGGTGTCTAGGCGGAAAGACTAGTGAGAGAAAGAAGGCAAGGTGGGCCCGAGTGGATACTTAAGTGGGTTCAGATAGACAAGAAAAAGGTTGGGCTGAGATCTAGTTCGGTCGGAGTGCCCTAGAGCCGCCCTTGTGGTCCGGTAGGTATTTCCTGTGCTATCCTATTTCTTTCTTGATTCCGTACAGAAAGAATCTACTTTTTCCCTATGATTTAGAGGTTCAATTGCCTAAAGATTTGGGTTGGGAAATGTAGCACCGGTGTCAACAATAAAGTGCTAGTAGAATAGGAAGAAGAGAGAATTTTACCTGCGAAGTGAGCCATTGAAGAAGAGCTATATTTAGTTAATAGAGCAAGTATAGTATGTGCTGGTACTGTTCTTTTTTGATGGTTGAAAAGGGTGAGACTTAGGCGAAAGGAATGAACTTCTAGCCTTTTGATTAGACAATTCCTACTGCATCAACAAAAAAACTAGCATCTGCAGCAGGAAAAGCAGCACTGACCTCCGTAGAGCTAGATTCAGTCAAATGGTTACCACGCTTAACACTTGGAATTTGAAGTGGGATGGAGATCTCGTTCACTCTTGAGTTTCAATGCTCAATGGCTCAGTGGCAGCCAGTTCAATGTCAGCTAGATTTCCACATCAAGCTCTAAGTCAAGCAGTCCAGCAGCTAAAACCGATATTACCGCATCAACAGAAATGAAAAAAGACTGACATCTGTAAGAGCAAAAGGACTGCTCATTATCATCGGCTTTTTCAGGGGTGGTGGGGAATGAAAGAAGTGAATTCATTTCCAAGGGAACGGATATCGCATATCGCAACTGACCACTAATAATCAAAATAGTGATCTCTCATTCTATCACATCTACCTTCCCCACCCTCCGCCCTTATCTCCAGAGGAGACCCTGGTCATCCACCGTATAGTACCTCGGGGTCAGTAGCAAACGAAAGCGAGCACGAAAGGAAGGCTTAGACCAGCTCCTTGTAGTCCAATTGTCTTTGTCCCAATGTCTGTGATCAAGCCAGAAAGAATAGCTTAATAGAGAGAGAATTCGGTACAGATATAAAGAAAAGGCTCACAGCAAGAGCATCTGGCAGGCGGGGTGTCAGCAGTTGGGCCAAGCGAAACAACAACATCACATGAATCTCTTTGTGGATCACTTTTCCTAGTCGCATAACCAAAGAAGAGGCATTGTCTCAATGAGCATGCAATAAAGTGTAAACAAGGCTCTTGCGCACACATCCGATATCGGTTTGCTTCCTCCACTGCACACACACGGCTAGTCGAAATGTGTAATGACAACGAGAAGACTGAAAGCGAGATTGCAGGCGAGTTGGTTAACGCGGATCCCAATTCATCATAGTCAATCCGCCTTGTGATCGGTTCGCAGAGAAGAGCTTGAATGCCTCATTGCTATCGCTTGAATTCATCTATTTGCTCATAGATCTTGTTTGTGGTCTACGAAGGGAATGTTCAGCGAGTATGCCTGCAATACGAGTAAGGGGAATGGAACTCTTGTTTGAGAACTTTAGCTACGGACTTAGGTTAGCTAGCTCAGCTTCTCCTATGACTATTTGGATTAAGGAACTATGGTAATGCGAAGACAAAGAAGGCCTAATTAATAATGGTGAGTTGAATCAGGCGCGGCAGCCGCTTTTATGCGCTACCGTTCAGGCCTTATTTAAGATAGGAGAATGCGGTTCAAGCAAGAGACTCCGGGTTTTGCCTAAGGCGAGTAGCAGACTCTGGTTTCAGTGCACGTGTGGAAGGCAACTCTGTTTAGCCAGCAAGCATAGGAAAAAAATCCCCCCGGGGAACTTACTTACTATTAATGCTAATCCATTAGTTCTAGCTCGAAG